CAGTGGACAGCTATTTGGAAGCCATTTTGAACCATTTAAGATGTAGCATCATGTCCCAACCACCAACTGGCGAACCCCCAAAGCGTTGTCTACGATTCCATTTAATTGTTGTCTTTTTATCTATTTTTTGTTTTGAGATATTGAATAATATATTCAAAATGGCGGCAGGAAAAGGGGATGCACCATGTACCTGGGCAATAAGTGTTAAATAATTTTATTCTCAGAAAACCAGACAGGTACAAAAATATATTTTTCATTTAAATAGGATGTCAGTAATAGTTTCATCCAGATTTTAACAATACATATTAAATAGTCTTCAGATTTTATCATTTATTTCAATGCTTACAGTCTATATTTATTTATTAGGTCATATAAAACTTTAGGCATGTATGTATACTGTATGAGTGCAGATATATGTGTGCATGATTGTGTTCGAGTGTGTGGTGGGAGGGTGTGTGTGCTTGTGTGTGTTTGTATTTGTGCTCACATGTGTATGAATAGCCCACCACCCCACACACACACACACTGCCCCAAACACCCCTGGCCCATATACACACACTCTTACGTTTTGTTTGTTACACTTCACATTTCTGTGCCGTCATGAGTCATGACATAGCTTGTTGTTATTGAATGTTCTTATGTGTATTCATACCATTTTCACGTAGTAAATATTTTAAAGACGTATTTTTTAAGACCACTCATTAAGTTCTATTGATTTACTTTTTATACGTTTGATTCATGGTGTCCACTACAAATAAATAAATAAATAAATATATATATATATATATATATATAGTAAATTTCCATATAATCGAATTTAGTGCTTTCTGGTTTATTTTTGTTTTATTTATGAAAATATTGATTTGTAACATTCGTTTTAATAGATTACCTTAGAATTTAATAGATTCCCTTTTTAAAGATAATTTTATGAGACTAGATTACTTTTTTAATCTCTCAACATTTTACAGCAGTAGCCACCATGTTGTAAAGACAATAAAAAAATCTACAAAATTACAATGAAATTAAAACACACACACACACACGCACGCACGCACGCACACACACACACACGTTATTTGTATTAACGTTTGTGTATGTATTCAGCTATCATGTTTGTGTCTTATTATGTACAATGTATTAGTGTTTAAGCTTTCTTGTTTATCAAATTATAAATAGTTTTTAGGTATTGCTGAACTTCGGATTTCAGAATTAAAAATAGTGGTTGAGGCTAGATTACTCTTCTTTTATGAATCCATTAGAAAAACGTTTCACTGTTTCGAAGCGCTCGAAACACCACGCGCTGGTGATGCCTGCTGGTCAAAACTGTATAAATGCAACACAAACTCAGGCTAAGCATGCTTAAAACAGCTTTTACAAACCCATTCCAAATGTTTTATTGAAAGTGCAATATATTAAATGCAATTAACAAATCATCAAAAAGGAAAAGTTGGGGGGGGAAAATATACACTACCATTCAAAAAATTTGGGGTCAATAAAATTTGCATTTTTGAAAGAAAATTTGTTATACTTTATTTAGCAAGAATGCATTAAATTGACCAAAAGTGACAATAAAACTTCAGTTGTTTTAGCAGGTTGTGTATTTCAAATAAATGCTGTTTTTTGTTTTAACTTTCTGTTCATCAAAGAAAAAAATGTATCATAGTTTCCACTAAATTATTCAGCAGCACAACTGTTCTCAACATTGACAATAATAAGAAATGTTTCTTGTGTGACAGATCAGCATATCAGAATGATTTCTGAATGATCATGTAAACTTTAAGACTAATGGCTGCAGAACATTCAGATTTGCCAACACAGGAATAAATTACATTTGAAAATATATTAAAATAGCAAAGTTTTTAAAAATGTAATACTAATTTACAATATTATGGATTTAACTGTATTTTTGATCAAATGCAGCATTGGTGAGCATAAGAGACTACTTTCAAAAACATACAATTTTTCCAACCCAAAACCTTTCAACAAGTAGATTTGACCAAATAAATGAAAGATTCTTTTAAAAAATAGATGTTTTGACGTTTTGAATTGATTTGTTGAGCTTTGCTGATCTAGAGCACTAGTACTATTTCAGCAGTTACCATGCATGACTTATAAAATACTTTACAGAAGTGTTTACAGTAGCTGCATCACATCAACATTTAGAAAGTGAAAACCTGTCATGTTAGACAGATTTCAAAAAGTCAACACATGCACTCGCTTTACAGGAATATCCAACCACATTCTTCAGTAAGGATTACGAAACACATTTCCTTGCTTGCACGGTAAAACATGATTTGTTGGTTTAACTTAAAAAAGTAAGTAACCTGGTTGCCTTAAAATGTTGAGTTCATTGAAACTAAGAATTTCAGTTATTAACAAGATAGTGTTTTTGTTGTTTCAACAAATATTTTTTTCTAAGAATTAAAGACTATTTTAACTTAACATTGTTTTGTTGTCATAACTTTGGTTTAAATATTGTATCCACTTATTCAGTCAATCAGTAAACTTTCAAGTCATCTTTATTTATATAGCGCTTTATACAATAGCCTACTGCTCAAAGCAGCTTTACAGGAAAATAGTTTGTCAATAATGCAAGAGGACAATAACAAAGAGTCATTTTTCCAGTCAGTTCATTGATGATTCAGTGATGTCATCATCCAGTTAAAATTTAAGTTTACTCAACTACATATAGTTTGTTATAAGAATTACCTAAAAAGTTTACATGGTTGCCTTCAAATTATGAGTTAAATAAACTTAAAGACAAAAGCTTTTTGTTAACTAATTATAACAGACAGCACAAATAAACCAATTTAAACATTCATGTTTATTAAAACATTCACTGCTTGAACGAAAACATTACAACACAAATAAAAAAATTAAAATCAAACAATTTTGCCTTTAAGATAGTCTTAACGCACTCTAAAAAAAAGATGGTTCTTTAAAGGTTCTTTACGCTGAAAAGGTTCTTTGTGTTAGAGTTCATGCAGGGTTCTTTATTCCCGCCCTTTTTGTTTTTTAAATCTGTAACTGTCAAAGCTCCTCATTACTGATTTTCTGCAGCTCAGACTGACTGTTAACACACTCTCAACAGGTAAATTATTTCATTCTTTAATTTAAATACAAATTTAACTTTAAAATTGTAACTGGTTTTCAAACAAACATGTTCTTTTCTCTTTTTAGTTTTCTGGTCATATGTAAGTGTGAGCAGCTCTGTTAAGATGAGGATACTTCTCTCCTCTTCTCCACTAAGTAACAGAGACACTGAATTTATAATACATATTGTTAGAATTTTTTATTTAATTTAACACTAGAACTCTCTATTCTATTTCTATCTACTTGTTTTCTTTTTAATCATTATAAAAAAATAATTATAATTGACCCTATAACACTAGCTCTATCTATTCTATTTCTTTTCTATCTACTTTTTATTCTATTTATTATAAAAAACCTTGCTATGTGTACTGCGTTAGACCAACCGGAACTTGTCACAACACTTATATATTGTTGCTCTTTTGTTGTTTTGATTGCTTCTATTACCGTCATTTGTAAGTCGCTTGGGATAAAAGTGTCTGCTAAATTATTAAATGTAATTATTACTTGGGTTTATGCATAAACATACCAAAACAGTCACAAAAATATTAAAGCTATCCCATGACTTTATATCACTTTTTTATTTTAACATTGTGAAGGGCTCACATTCCTATCTATTCTATTTCTTTTCTATCTACTTTTTATTCTATTTATTATAAAAAACCTTGCTATGTGTACTGCGTTAGACCAACCGGAACTTGTCACAACACTTATATATTGTTGCTCTTTTGTTGTTTTGATTGCTTCTATTACCGTCATTTGTAAGTCGCTTGGGATAAAAGTGTCTGCTAAATTATTAAATGTAATTATTACTTGGGTTTATGCATAAACATACCAAAACAGTCACAAAAATATTAAAGCTATCCCATGACTTTATATCACTTTTTTATTTTAACATTGTGAAGGGCTCACATTCTGTCCATTTTTGCTTTTGGCCTTTATAGACATTGTTGTTTTTACATAAACAAATGGAAGGAGGCACATTGTAACTCTAAACTCAATTGTGCATTTTTCAGATGCTGTCACATCCTACAATCTTGTCATCTGCAGAGAGAAACTGCCACTCAGTCACACCAAAATACACATAATGATGGACTTACAGGCAGATTGTGAAAATACTGTATCACTTGAACTTGGACTTCATTAAAATAATAAAAATAAATATATAAATAATTTTTTACAGGGAAAGTCAAATGTCATGACAAGTATACGTTTCATTTACCAAAGCCATACTTTACAATACAGACAAGGCTTTTAAATTACATAAGACATGAAACTAGATTTTAAAAAACTAATTTAACACATTTGTGTCTATCCTTATTGACTGTTTATATAAGCTATTATTACTGACTGTTATTCAAAAAACTATAGTTTTGAACATAATGTCTAATGCAATATACTTATTTATTCACGCAGCAGTACAATGGGTTCCGGTGAGGCACTTCAATAACTGCTCTAGTAAACTGAAAGAAGAGTTTGTACCTTCAGAACTTCATCTGAACCAAGGTTATGTCAGCAATATCAAACGAACTCTGAGGGAGGTGCTGGTTTGATTAGCTTATAATGTGCATAAAAGGGACAGTTCGAGTGGTTATCTCATTTCATCTCAAGAAGCTCCATACAAGGCATTCATGTCATTATTCAGCTTAAGTCAGTTCAATGTTGATTCAGTTTAGATCAATAACAGTGTCAATGTTGCAAAATTAGTCTCAAAATTAGCTGAATGTTAATTGACTTTTAAACCCAAACTGAGCAAGTCAAAGGCGACAGTTGCAAGAAACCAAAACTCCATCAGGTGACAGTAGTGGGGG